CTCAATGGGTAGGGGTCTGATTCCTCAATGGGTAGGGGTCTGATTCCTCAATGGGTAGGGGTCTGATTCCTCAATGGGTAGGGGTCTGATTCCTCAATGGGTAGGGGTCTGATTCCTGAATGGGAGGGGGTCCGATTCCTGAATGGGAGGGGGTCTTATTCCTGAATGTGTAGGGGTCTGATTCCTGAATGTGTAGGGGTCTGATTCCTGAATAGGTAGGGGTCTGATTCCTGAATGGGAGGGGGTCTGATTCCTGAATGGGAGGGGGTCTGATTCCTGAATGGGTAGGGGTCTGATTCCTGAATAGGGGGGCAGATTCCTGAATGGGAACTAATGGTCTGAATCCTGAATAGAGGGGGGTCTAATTCCTGAATGGGTAGGGGTCTGATTCCTGAATGGGAGGGGGTCTGATTCCTGAATGGGTAGGGGTCTGATTCCTGAATGGGAGGGGGTCTGATTCCTGAATGGGTAGGGGTCTGATTCCTGAATGGGAAGTAATGGTCTGAGTTATGGATCTCCTGAGATTGGCACAGAGCACAGCAGGACCTTTAGCTCAGTGCTTCCAGTCCATATGCTCTCTACTTCCTGTTCCTGCTGTTCTGAATTAATTAGCTGCTGCAAATGGGGGCCCTAATTAGAGCCACTGTATTCATAAAATAGCATGGGGCCCACTAACCAGAAGCAAAATGTAATTCTGTGCTCTATGCCCAGATTTTTGGAGATCCCTCAGCACAGAGGTGAGAGTAACGAGTGCCTTCTACTTAAATGAGAACTATGGGGTCAGTATTTTTCCCCATAGTTCTCCTTGGGGTAACGGGAGGACACAAACTAGCGTCCTCCCGTTACCCTAAGCTCAGTATACCGCCAGCTACAGCTCGCGGTATACTGAGACGCCACACCTGGAGCGGATCCCGACGTAGCTGACGGGATCCGCCCAGCTGCGTGAGGCAGAGCCAGCTGTACCCGCCCCCTCCCCCGTCCGTTCCGCCAGTCAGCGCTGGCAGATCGGAGCGGGGAGAGGGGAATCCAGCCCCTCCCCTGTCACGGCAGAGAGCTGTGACAGGATCGAGAGGTGAGCGAACGCCGGTATGTGTTCCCTCACCTCCCGATCTACTGAGCCGACCTGTGGCAGTCTCATTGTCACAGGTCGGCTAGAACTATGAGGTGAGTGGATATCACTCATCTCATAGTTCTCCTTTAACACCTGCTGTCCTTTCTAGGTAAGTTTTGCTCAAAGTCTACTTTAAAAACAAGTCCGCATTAGCAGCCCCCAGAATTCTACCCTGAGAGGTCTATAGCAGCAATGGACGTCAGTGATGGTGACACATTGGTGGGAGGAGCAGCTGTGCACAGTAACCAATCAGCTTCTATCTTCAGCTTGTTCCATTAAAGTGATATTAAAGCCTCGTTCTAACGGAGGATCGTTCTAACGGAGGCACCCGTGCGCGCTCGTGCCGGCAGTGGCTGTATGCGTCCATAGACACACACAGCCTTGTGGCAGGCCACGCCTCTTCTCACTTTGATTGATGGCAGAAGGAGCCTATGGCTCCTCTGCCATCAGTATCCTCCTCCCGCCCCCCGTAACCCGGAAGTTCGGTGGAACGGAGGATCGCTTCGGGACCGGCGGCTGGGATGAGCGTCGCTGACAGGAAAATGTGGGGGGAATTGGGGGAGAAAAAAGGTGCTGGGCCATTTTTACTCTAATGCAGAGAATGCATTAAAGGAGAACTATGGGGTAAGTGTTTTTCCCCATAGTTCTCCTCAGGGTAACAAGAGGACATAAACTACATAGTTACATAGTATTTGAGGTTGAATAAAGACATTAGTCCATCAAGTCCAACCTATTGCATGCTGTGTGCGTATGTATAGGTCCATGTACCATCTCGTTCTTAAGAATACCTGTACCCCTGTATATTACGGTCTCTCAGGAAATCGTCCAAAAGCTTCTTGAATGATTCCACACTCTTAGCTGAAATCACTGCCAGTGGTAAAAAACTAGCGTCCTCCCGTGACCCAAAGCTCAGTATATCACGAGCTATAGCCTGCGGTATACCGAGACGGGACGGATCCCAACATTACTGTCGAGATCCACCCAGCTGCGTGAGTGACAACTGGCTCTGCCTATCTAGAGGCAGAGCCAGCTGTACCCGCCCCCTCCCCCGTCCGTTCCGCCAGTCAGTGCTGCAGGATCGGAGAGGGGGGGGGGGGATCCCTGCAGGGAGCCGGGGCTGACAGTCACCGGTCTCTGCATGGACAGGATCGAGAAGTGAGCGAGCGACGGTATGTGTTCGCTCACTTCCCGATCCATTGAGCCGACGTGTGACAGTTAAATTGTCACAGGTCGGCTCGAACTACGAGGATGGGTGAAGATCACTCACCTCGTACTTCTCCTTTAAGGTAAAAAACGCCCAGACCTTAATACTACTTTAAGCTCTGAAAATAAAAGCTAGAAGCTGATTGGTTGCCATGCACAGCGGCTCCAGACTGTCTGCTCCAGTCTTAGTAAATTCATTGGATTCCCTAGTGCTGAAGAAATACAAAATATCATCTGTGCAGCTTTCCATGATCATGTGACATTATCATTTCCAGCAACGTATGTATCAGAAACTAATTGGAGAGAGAGTCATAACCCGGCTCTCTATAGCATACGCTTTCTTTATACTTTACTGGTCATTCTATCATGATATACTCGGTCATAAAATACTTTAGATTTCTATTATAAATGTATCTGTAGCCAAAACCTTTTTTTTTGTCTGTGTTGCTGTTAGAGAGATTTCCCCTTACTTCCTGGCCTAAAGACAACCTTTTTACTAGACAGGAAGGGAAGAAATCTCTCCAACGGAGCCTCCGACGGCAGTGAAACCTGACAGGTTTTCTAATCCTTCCCCACTCTATCTAATGCTAAAAAAAAAAGGTTTGGGCTATAGATAGACTGATGTATATGTAAAGTTAAACCCTTTGGTTGCTAGGGAATGCAATCTATGCATCCGTGAATGTCACAAAGGACTGATTTGTCATTGCTACAGTAGCTCTGCATTACAACATTATATCAGATGAATATAAACACTTAGGATGTCTATTTATAAACAGCTCGCAGAGCCATTCGCCCTGTGTCTGTGTGAATAGAGGCAATAACAAATGTCCTTAGTATATTTTCTTTTCAGGTCGAATGTAATGTAACACCACATTATGACCACTGGATGGAGCTGAGGAGCATAGGAAAGAAGTATTTATTTCCTATGTTTCTCAGCTCCATCTAATGGCTCTAAATGCGGTATTTTACAGATTGTATATCTTCTATTCAGGTTGAATGTAATGTAATACAGCATTATGGCCTTTAGATGGAGATGATGAGCATAGGAAAGAGGTGTTTCTTTGTATATTTCCTATTCAGGTTGAATGTAACAAATAAACACTTATTTCCTATGCTCATCAGCTCCATCTAATGGCCATGATGTGGTATTACATTACATTCAACCTGAATAGGAGCTATACTAAGAAACACTTATTTCCTATGCTCATCAGCTCCATCTTAGGGCCATAATGTGGTATTACATTACACTCAACCTGACTAGGAGATATACAAAGAAACACCTCTTTCCTATGCTCATCAGTTCCATCTAATGGCCATAATGTGGTATTACATTACATTCAACCTGAATAGGAGATATACAAAGGAACGCTTCTTTCCTATGCTCATCCGATCCATCTAAATGGCCATAATGTGGTGTTACATTACATTCAACCTGAATAGGAGATATACTAAGAAACACTTATTTCCTATGCTCATCAGCTCCATCTTAGGGCCATAATGTGGTATTACATTACACTCAACCTGACTAGGAGATATACAAAGAAACGCTTCTTTCCTATGCTCTTCAGTTCCATCTAGAGGCCATAATGTGGTATTACATTACATTCAACCTGAATAGGAGATATACTAAGAAACACTTCTTTCCTATGCTCATCCGCTCCATCTAATGACCATAATGTGGTATTACATTACATTCAACCTGAATAGGAAATATACTAAGAAACACTTCTTTCCTATGCTCATCAGCTCCATCTAATGGTCATAATGTGGTATTACATTACATTCAACCTGAATAGGAGATATACAAAGAAACACTTCTTTCTTATGCTCATCAGCTCCATCTAAAGGCCATAATGCTGTATTACATTACATTCAACCTGACTAGGAGATATACTAAGAACATTCATTTTTGTCTCTATTTGCACAGAATGAACATTCACAGAGATTCGCATAGCAAACGGCTCTGCACGCTGTTCATAAATAGACCGGTTACTATGTACTAGTGGAATATTGAGTGGGAACATGTCAATCTAATCTGCCCATTAGTTCTACTTTATAATGCCGACAAACTTTTGATTCTGGCGCAGTTGGCAGGATACTTGCACAAAAAGCAACATTGCAAGCAGATTCGGAAGGACACGGGTGACACATTACACCTCAGTGGTAATAAGCTTATAACATGTATTATGGCACTTTAGAATAATTCCCAGAGCTGGAAATCAATTGATTTTTTTTTTGGCACCCTGTCCACATTTCTGTCACTCTCTTAAGGCAGGATCTCAAATGCTACCAGGCTACTTTTAAGATATGTAAGCATGGAGTTTGGAATGATGTTAGAATTCTTAAAACAGGAACCCCGGGGGTTCCAAAACGAGCAAAGAACAACTTAAAAAAAAGTGTTGGTAAATATAAAAAATAATTATAATACATAACATATAAAAAAAAAAAAGAGAAAGTGCCAGTGATGGATTTGTGTAAAGAATGAGTTCAGGAGTGTGGAAGCATCAGTTGACCAAGGAAGGAGGTGGTAATGGTCAAGCCAGCCATCCAACTCCTCCCTATGTAAGCGACGATGGGTCAGTCCAGCCCCATCCCATTGAGCTGTCCCAGAGTAGAACACTTGGGTAAGTTCTTCAGAAGTCCTCTGAGATAGCATGTCCATTCTTTTCATATTTCTTTCAGGTCCTTTGTTGAACATGGAAGTACTATGGGTGAGTCCAGCCCTCCCCGTGTGAAGCCATGATAGGCAAGTCCAGCCTCACATTTACAATAGTCCCCTATTGAAGATGAATGGATTTGTCTAACCGTCCTTCTTAGGTGTCTCCAAAAGGGAGGTGTAGTGGATTGATCCTCAAGTGTCCCCTAGCGTCTCTCCGGTACCTTCGTTTTCTTCCTCGGTCTCCAGGAGTAAGTGTTTGGCATTGTAATCCTCCCCTCGTCCCGCTCGGGACAGCGCTTTCACCCAACGGCGTTGAAGCTGTTCGGTTTCGGGGCTGAAGTAGAAGCTGAGCTGGCTTTGGCTGATCTTGAAGACGTGTTTGCGATCGGAGCGTTCACACTGTTCTGTCGGGGTTATCTCAAAGCCAATTAAAGGGATGCTCCTTTGAGCCTTTACATCCTGGGACAGAAAAAAAAAGAATCAAATGCTACTTGCCCAAAAGGTAGGAGGCGTGAGGCGCTGAACATCAATTTTCAACCAAATCAGCATAATCACGATTAAAGGCTTGTGGCTGCTCACCATAAAGCGGGGACCCACCATTCAGCAGCCTCCGTGCTGAAATGGGGGTCAGGCAAATCCAGAAATCCACATGTAGTCAGGTCAAATGAGAACACCAACTCAGGTGACAGGAGTCAAAGTATTTTGTCAAACGTTTGGTGACAACCAAATACAGCCAATGTGTTGTGGGGGCAAAAAACATCCCCCTTCATCAGGGCCTAAAGAAGCCAAGACTATGGAAGGACTCAGACAGCTAAAAGCAAGCTAGAGCTAGAGCTGTCAAGATCCACCCAGCTGCGTGATTGACAGCTAACTCTGCCTATCTAGAGGCAGGGCCAGCTGTACCCGCCCCCTCCCCAGTCAGCGCTGGAGGATCGGACAGGGGACAGGAATCCCTGCAGGGAGCCGTAAGTGACAGTCACGGCTCTCAGCAGGGACAGGATCGAGAAGTGAGAGAGCAACGGTATGTGTTCGCTCACTTCCCAATCTATTGAGCTGACCTGTGACAGTTTCATTGTCACAGGTCGGCTAGAACTATGAGGCTGAGTGATTTTCACTCGCCTCATAGTTCTCCTTTAAGTCTATTTCAATACAATTCTGAATTTGTATTCTGGTGAAAACATTTTGTTGGCCAAAAACAACCCCCTTTATCAGGGCTTAAAGAAGGCAAGACAAAAGGAAGGACTCGGACAGAGGAAAGCAGAATTGTATCTGAAATGCAATACTAAATGATTGTATAGTCTATTTCAGCACAATTCTGAATTTGTATTCTGTGTATTCTAATCAAAGTGTTTCCGTGGCCCCCCCAAAAAAACAACCCCCATCATGGGGCTTAACGAAGGCAAGATTATGGAGGGACTCTGTTTCAGCACAATTTGGAATCTGTATTCTGGTGTATTCTGGTCACCCAGTTACGGTGACGAAAAACAACCCCCCATCATCGGAGCTTACAGAAGGCAAGCCTATGGAGGGACACTATTTCAGCACAACTCTGCTTTCAGCTGCCTGAGCCCTTCCATAGTCTTGCCCTCCTCAAGTCCTGACCGTTGTTTTTGGCCCTTAAAATGTGTTGACCACAAAACACCAAATTCATAATTGTGCTGAAATAGACGGGGGAGCTTTTTAGTACTGTGCTGCCGATTAAATGTTGCTTCCAGCTGCCTGTGTCCTTCCATAGCCTTGCCTTCTTTAAGTCCTGATGAAGGGGGATGTTTTGATCCCTTAACTGCGTTGGCTGTATTTTTATTCTGGTTGTCATCAGATATTTAGTTAGACTTTGGGCTCCTATCACCTGATCTGGTGCTCTCATTTGATATGACTACATGTAAATCAAATACCATTTGAACCATCTAGCTGCCATTTTAATGGGGCTAAGTGCTTGTGTACATGGGCATTTGGTATCTGTAATTTAAATGGGCTTGGGAAGCATGGCTGGAGGGGTCCTGTACTTTCCCCTCCTGTAAGCATATTCACAGTATTAGACTGACAGCACTAATGTAATGCAGTAGAGACTCATTGGCTCAAAGTGTTTTCACTGTCCCAATGTGAATGATGATGTGCAGCGGATAACATAAAGACATAATCAGGTACTTGTACAAGGTATATTTAAAAATAAATTTACACTTCTAAAATAAATAGGCTGAATGCTGTTATTTATATATATAACTAGATTTCTGCATTTAAGGGTCAGTCAATTCACAACCGATATTTCAATTTCTAGACCATGGGATGGGCAACTTTTGTTCTAGACAATCCTGAATACTTAAACCTGACCATTTTACAAGAGTAGGCAGGAACCCCCAAAAAGTTGGACAGGGACAATAGTAGGAATTATGGGAATAATATCCAAGACACATATCGTAAGATACCATATAAGATGCCAGGGGATGACTCAGCCACTAGGCTCCAACTACCATATCAATTTTGGGTTGAATGACCCTTTAAATGCCTTCAACTTTTCCTAAACACACCCCAGTCCTAAATGTTTTGGATCTGATGAACATACCTGTGGAGCTCCATAGATGTACAGCACCAATGGCTCGTTCTGAGGGATGACGAACCAGCCTTTATGCCAGCTCTTCGCACCTTTCTCCATGTAATGCATGTAACTGCACAATATACTGTGCTCTGCTACTACCGACGCCTGTTTCTGTACAGAAGGAAAAACAAATGGAATTTACATTCATTCCAAAAGCTAATGAGAAACAAAAGCAAAACCTTCCTAACTAGTCACTGTTTGCTCCTCACATGTGCCAGCCACCAGGGCTCTAGATTAGGACACTGCACCTTTAAGTAAAAATAAAATAATGTCCCATTTACGTCATACCCCCTCCACAAGGAACGGTCACAATATCTGACAGTCATTTAGTTGCTGTCCGTGCCTTTCATGTCTGGTGACAGCTGCATCCACAATTTCTTGTGAGGGTGTCACGGGACAGAAAGTCCCTAGTGGGGTCAGAGACAGAAAAATAAAAACTGACAGCAATTGAAACTTTTCCACACCCTGTCCAGAAGTTTAAAAGAATGGCTGGAGGTCGGGTCTAAAATAATTTCTGATGTGATATTCTTATTTTGACTATCTAGTGCTAACATTTTTTTATATTAAACAAATAAATAAATATAGTTAACGATAGAAGAAATTAAGCCAGTGTCAGACCCTCCTCAACATAAGATCACCAGGAGGCGGTCTTGTACTCCCCGTATAGTAAGAAAATAAGCCAGTGTTGGGCCCTCCTCAACATATGATTACCATTAAGCTGCCTCAACACCCATATAGTGAGGAAATAAGCCAGTGTCAGACCCACCTCAACATATGATTACCATTAAGCTGCCTCAACACCCATATAGTGAGGAAATAAGCCAGTGTCAGACCCTCCTCAACATATGATTACCATGAAGCTGCCTCGTACTCCCATATAGTGAGGAAATAAGCCAGTGTCAGACCCTCCTCAACATATGATTACCATGAAGCTGCCTCGTACTCCCATATAGTGAGGAAATAAGCCAGTGTCAGACCCTCCTCAACATATGATTACCATGAAGCTGCCTCGTACTCCCATATAGTGAGGAAATAAGCCAGTGTCAGACCCTCCTCAACATATGATTACCATGAAGCTGCCTCGTACTCCCATATAGTGAGGAAATAAGCCAGTGTCAGACCCTCCTCAACATATGATTACCATGAAGCTGCCTCGTACTCCCATATAGTGAGGAAATAAGCCAGTGTCAGACCCTCCTCAACATATGATTACCATGAAGCTGCCTCGTACTCCCATATAGTGAGGAAATAAGCCAGTGTCAGACCCTCCTCAACATATGATTACCATGAAGCTGCCTCGTACTCCCATATAGTGAGGAAATAAGCCAGTGTCAGACCCTCCTCAACATATGATTACCATGAAGCTGTCTTGTACTCCCTATATGGTGAGGAAATAAGCCGGTGTCAGGCCCTCCTCAACATAAGATCACCATGAAGCTGTCTTGTACTCCCTATAAGGTGAGGAAATAAGCCAGTGTCAGGCCCTCCTCAACATATGATTACCATGAAGCTGCCTCGTACTCCCATATAGTGAGGAAATAAGCCAGTGTCAGACCCTCCTCAACATATGATTACCATGAAGCTGTCTTGTACTCCCTATATGGTGAGGAAATAAGCCGGTGTCAGGCCCTTCTCAACATAAGATCTCCAGGAAGCTGTCTTGTACTCCCTATATGGTGAGGAAATAAGCCGGTGTCAGGCCCTCCTCAACATAAGATCACCATGAAGCTGTCTTATATTTTCTATATAGTGAGGAAATAAGCCAGTGTCAGGCCCTGCTAAACATATGATCACCATGAAGCTGCCTCGTACTCCCATATAGTGAGGAAATAAGCCAGTGTCAGACCCTCCTCAACATAAGATCACCATGAAGCTGTCTTGTACTCCCTATATGGTGAGGAAATAAGCCAGTGTCAGACCCTCCTCAACATATGATTACCATGAAGCTGTCTTGTACTCCCTATATGGTGAGGAAATAAGCCGGTGTCAGGCCCTTCTCAACATAAGATCTCCAGGAAGCAGTCTTATATTTTCTATATAGTGAGGAAATAAGCCAGTGTCAGGCCCTGCTAAACATATGATCACCATGAAGCTGCCTCGTACTCCCATATAGTGAGGAAATAAGCCAGTGTCAGACCCTCCTCAACATAAGATCACCATGAAGCTGTCTTGTACTCCCTATATGGTGAGGAAATAAGCCGGTGTCAGACCCTCCTCAACATAAGATCACCAGGAAGCAGTCTTATATTTTCTATATAGCGAGGAAATAAGCCAGTGTCAGGCCCACCTCAACATAAGATTACCACAAAGCTGCCGTCCCATATGGTGACCTTGATGATTCCACTTCATCTCCTGCACAGCAATGACGACAATAATGCTAAGCACTGAAGAAGCAACGTCCCTCATGTATCATGATAATGGGTCTTTCCTTCTGCCTTGGTTCTCAACTGGTGGGTCGTGACCCAAAAGTGGGTCGTGCCCTCATTTTCAGTGGGTCCCCGCATGCGTTCCACTTTTCTAGGTGAGAGGCTCCTCTGCCTCCCGCTGTTAGTTCTCGAGCCAAGCAGCCATTCAAAATATGCTGCCCAGCACCGAGTGTCAGCATGAGGTTGGATGGGATGGGGCTACGGCCGTGAGGGAGCTCCATCTATACGTGCAATCCTTAGAGCCCCCTCACGTGTCCCATAGAGGTGCCATGGTGACATCACATTCTGGCTCCCGACACCTCTACAGGTTGCGCAAGGGAGCTGTACAAGCAATGTACATGTGGATGGAGCTCTGCCACAGTACAGCAACCCACACCGGAGCCCAGGCTGAGGATCCACTCCAGTTCTCGTAAGGTTGGAAAACTTGGTGGACCTTAAAAAAAAAAAACATTTTTGGAGTGTATATGAGAATGTCAGTGAGTGTGTGAGATTGTGTGTGTCTGTCAGTTTTTTTGAGGGCCCGTTCGCATAGTACCGTGCGATTAATGCACTGTACCACACAATCGCGCCAACCTTGCTTTTTGGTGTGGGAGGTGTGTTGCGTTGCCATTCATGTGAATGGTACCCCAAACGCTCCATCGCCCACAATTCTTACGTCCGCACCGGAACGCCCATTAGTACCCTAATGCTGTGCGTTCAATTACAGTGCAACTTGGGTCGCGACTTAATGGCCAAGGACAAATGTGGGTCCTGAGGTTACACAGGTTGAGAAACACTGCTATAGAGCACATACAGTATATAAACTCTCCTGACAACCTTGTGGTGATTCAAGGCCCAGTCCACTGGTCTACAAATATGTTCTGCTGATATTTCTATAAAACATGTGCAGGGAGGAGGTGGAAGAACAGTTTAGAGTGTCAAAATGTTCCAGTATGAGTGCAGAATACACAGTAAACATATTCAAGCAATACCTCTAAGATGGATTTCCTGCGTTGAGGTGTGTGAGTGCTGAAACCTGGGCTGGACGCAGAACCACGTAGGGCAGTGTAACAGTCTATACACACACGGTTTGTTCGGTTGTTGTCATAGACCAGGCGAGCGCGAAATTCTGAACACTTTCCACAAACCACCTGCAATATAAAAGCAAGAGGGGGTGATGAATTTTGGCTGAGATGCAGGCAGTGGACATGGGAATTAAAGGAAACAAATTGGCTGGAGTTAGACACCCTCCACTAGTTATACTTACCTTTACTTCCGCTCTACCTGCATGTCCAATCCTTGACACCACTCTGTAAGAATCCCAGTATTTAAACCCCAACCAGAAAAGTAAAGTGGTACCTCGGTTCATGAACTTAATTCGTTCTGCGATTCTGGTCGCGAACCGATTTGGTCGTGAACCAAATCAAACTGTGATCTCGACTAGAGGAAGCCATGACCATGTGTCAGAGCAGGGAAAATGGCTGCGGTTGTGTTCGTCACCCGAAGCTGAGTTCGCGAACGCAGGCGAAATTTTGCCGAGCTTCCTGTTCGCGGAATACCTGTTCAGAATTACTAGCTATTGCTCTCTCTTCTATTACACGGTGGACTTGATCAGGCAGCCTTATATTTGAAGATGTTTGCTGATACAAAGATTGTTTTGAATTATCCAACCTACGTGTAACTGTTTCTTGGTACTAATGTATAACTGTTCAGTTCCACTGTCTGTGAACTTATAAATAAAGAATTGGACATTTTTGGGTAGAGGAACATGTGACATGCCACATGCCTACATGCAATGCACCATCCAGGGAATGAAAAGCCAAATGTTAAACCCCAGCACCGTCACCAAGTGGAGGGTGGGGTTTACTCTTCGGTGCACAATTGTTGACAATCCCAGTTAGTGTTGACAATTGCCAGTGAATTCCGTAGTGGCAGAGTGAAGTATAGGAAACAGAGAGTGCCTAGCACTGGGTGGCTTTGGGAATTTCATTTTATCTACAGAGTAATATAACTCCTACAATTAGCCTTAAAGTCCTAACGATCTCCTTAAACCCAAACTTGTACCTTCTTACCCCAACGTAAAACCAAAATAATCCCTAACACTAAGGGGCTGATTTATAAAGTGTTCACCTAGCATATAGCTGGACGACCAAGGTTTGCAGGGCATAACTGCCACTAGATCAGGGGTGGGAAAACTCCGTCCCTTCATCTGTGGTGAAACAATAAATCCCAAAATTGCATCTGCCTCTGGGAGTCATGCATGTGGCTGTGAATATCTTGCAGTGCCTCATGGGATTTGTAGTTCCACCACAGCTAGAGGGCTGGGGTTTGCCCACCCCTGCCTGAGCGGCATTTGAAATTCCTTTGATCTTCAATTCCATCTAGTGGCAATTATACCCTGCAAACCTCATTAACCCAACTATATGCTGGGAGAACACTTTACAAATCAGCCCCTAAATCAGGGCTAGGCAACCTCGGCACTCCAGTTGTGGTGAAACTACAAACTCCATCATGCTTCTGGGAGCCATTCCTGTGGCTGCCAGTCTTGCAATGCCTCATGGGACTTGTAGTTCCATAACAGCTGGAGTGCTGAGGTTGCCTACCCCTGCTCTATGTAATACCTTCTGCATTGGGCTGTACAAGGGGCCTCTTTGTCATCAGACAACAGGTATTGCTACAAAACACAACAGCATCAAGATCCTGGCACCCAAAGTCACTACTGTGATCATGTTCCAAGTCAGCAGATCTAAAGATCTATTGACTTGGACCATGATCACAAATGTTCCAAGTCTGTAGAACTAAAGACCTGCTGACTTGGTACATGATCACAAAGAGGTGTGATCTACATACTTGTTCCAGGTCAATGACTCAAAGTATTGAAGCTGTCGACAGAAAAATCAGCCAGTGAGCATTTTCAAAAAGAGGTCTGCAATGGCAGCCTCCAAATTTCTCTCAGCACTGATTCTGGATTCAGCAGAAAGAAAATAAAGAAGGAAATGCAGCGATCATCTCTATAGAAGAGGAGAATGACCTCATAACAATGTATGAAGAAGCTATGGACCTAAGTGACAGCATTATATAAGAAAATATTGATATGGTCCATTGGTAATGTACATTGAGTGGCCAGATTATTATGACCACCCCATCAGTACTTTGTTGCGCCGCCTCGTGACTCCACGAGATGTTGAAAGGTGATGCGAGGAATCTGACACGGCACTGTTGCCCTTCTGTTGTCTTGTACCAGTCTTGCCACTCTCCGTTGCACCGGATGCACCACCCGGATAGCCTTGGAGTCCAAAAGAATTTATTTTATCAATCACAGAAGTCCAAATGAAAGAAACCGATGCATTTCGGGGACTATAAAGCACCCCCTTCAATAAGACTTTAAGTGATGAACAACCAGCTTCTGAAGCCTGATTTAGAGTAAAGGAGCTATCATAAGAGTTAAGTACCCTCCAATTATCCTATACAAGCCCACTATTTTATCTAAACCAGCATATGAAGCCCCGATAAAGGAGGTACTGTACTCCAAAACGTGTTGGCTTGTTGGGTCATCTATGCAAAAACAGATACTTTTGGACTCCAAAATTCTTGGTACGGAGCTAGTTCTCTACACCTTCAGGTGGAGGAAAAAGGATGAATTCATATAGAAAACAGGAGAAATACAGAGGTCAGTGGATTGGAAGATCCAGAAAGGAGCAGATGTTTATAAGAACATCATGAAAAGATACATGATTATACCAGTCACTGGGTTGAGAGGGAAATTGGCATTGGGAAGGGAAGACAGGCAGAACAATGGAACTCAATGGATACAAAGACTGATAGGAGAGCGTAGTAGAGAAAGAGAAGAACAAAAGATGGGAATCAGTGCACCGATATTAACAAATCCACCCAATATGTTGAAAGGCATGAATGGGGGAGAGAGCAGCAAATGCAAATGGAACAGCATTCAGCAAAGGTGATAAGAGTAATAAAACACATAAGATACAAATAAACGATATAAGGAGACAGGAAAAACAGCAAAGGCTAATGGTAAGAAAACTGAACAGCTAAAGAGCAAAAGAAAATACAAAAAAAGTAAAGAAGAATAGATGGCCACAGTCTCCACGAACATAAAACACAAAGAAATTGGTAGTGACCCCAGAGAAAGGAGAGCTGGTATAGGATACAATGTAAATAAGATTCACTCACATGGCCGCAGGCTTTGCAGTGGTGCCTCCTTTTGGTTATAGAGTTAAAAGCTTCTTGGCATTTCATGCACATGGTTACCTCCTTCTCCCTTATTGGCGTTGGCGCTCGCTTACCCAGGTCTGTGTTCTGTATAAGGAATAAGAGGTATAAGAAAGGACATATCATGTTAGGTTTTTAAAGTGGAGCTCATATGAGAACTGATGGAGTTGACGAGCTGAGTGGACCATCTCCAACTCTATGATCCACTGCTTGAAAGTCTAAAGCTGCCCATACACCTTGCGATCATCGGACGACAATTTTTCGTCTGATGATCGAACCGTCGTCCGATTTTCGTACGGCGGCCCCATCCTGCCCCGTTTATCGCAAGTTTGGATCAGCGTTAATTAAAAGAAAGCACCTGGACGAATTGCGGTAATCGACCGCACGTATTTTCGTCTGCGCATGTGCAGTGTAAATCATACGAATTTTGATGTACGGAAACACCACCAACCTTGCGAAAATCGTACGAGCAACCGAAGTTTTCTAACCTGCTGGCAAGTCGATCGATTGTACAGTATTTGCGGTTGTACACTGCCCATCAACCTTACGAATATCGGACGAAAACACGGTCGCATATGAAAATCGGCCGATATTCGTAAGGTGTATGTGCAGCTTAAGTCTGAGTACATTCTAGGCTCTGCTGCCTGTGCCTTTGCATCCCTTCACAAGATGTAATATAGTAAGGAAATATCTGCCATCTGCTCATGTGTCCCACATTGGGAAAACAATGTCAGCGCACCTTGTCTTCTGCTTCAGAAATCATCTTTATTGATGTACATGCAATATATCAGAAGAAAAATGCAACATTTTGGATCCTCACATTGCTCCTTTAATGAAGAAGGGACCCTGAAAGGTTCCAAAACGTTGCATTCTCTTTCTGATATGCTGAATGGACCTCAATTAAGACCATTTCTGAAGCAGAAGATAAGGTGTGCAGACAGCATACTGTATTTTCCCTATAGAATACTATGGCACCATCCACCAGATGTTCCAGTACCATACCTAGGGGGAATACCAGTTTGGTGTGGGATGGAGATACAGTATATCTATGTCCCACATTGGAACTTGCAGGATCGGAGGATATGGTCCACAGAACCCCAATTTGCATAGAAATGCTGCGTAACATCTTCCTAGACACTGCTGAATTGTCAGGTCCCTTCCTGTTCAAGCCAACTCTTACCGGTGAATTGGGGGGAGTTTCTTCATCTTCGCGATGAGAGGAATTAAGCAGTTTGAACTGCTCGACGGTCTGCTCGTGACAACTCATGGTGGTTTCAATTGCCTACAAGTAAAGGACACACAATGACAGTCATTGATACTGTACTGTACAATCCTCTTTCTGGCCTATTAAATGAACCACTGCCAAGGGTAACAATGATACGCAAAACAGAAGGACGATGCAACCAGAGTTCACTCACATCAGTAAGAGGAAAATTCATACTGGGTTCTTTTGTCTTACATAACAAGCTTGCGTATACGACCTATACGATCATATATAATGTAACTCAATAGTAACAATATATGATATATTATTAAGTATATGTTAAACTGATTCTTACTATACAACCCCCTCTACATGTACCATGCAGCTTAGATAAATTAAGTATATTATCTTTTTTATGAATTACATCTGGTGGTAGTATTATTAAAGTGTCTATTTCTTGAGGATAATTTGACCAATTACTGGTTCGTTCTTGTCACAGTTCCTTGTACTTTGATCCGGCGCCAGGTTTTGCATCCTGTCCGAGCTGCTCAGCTTCCTGTCAGTCCGCCTTGAACCTTGGTGTTATAAGGCTTGTGCACCCAGGGCAGCCATCAGAAATTTTGGGGCCCCTTACACGGCTTTAGGCAGCGAGCATCATTGCTGATGGGGCTCTAGCTTGTCTCAAAGCCGCTGGAGCGGCAATGCTGGGGCCCTGTGCTGCTAGGGCCAGGCCTCTGCCTCCTCGCCCTTCACCGTCAGCCGATAGTCATATAAGGGACCCGGGCGGGCCCCCCAGGCTGCCCCGGCCCCTTACATGAGTATCGGCCATACCCCCTGATGGCTGCCCTGTGTGTACCTGTGCTTTAGCGCTCGAGCAACGTGTCTCCACGCTAGTAGCCGGACGGCTCTGTTTTCTGTGGTATTGCCGCTTGAGTATACCTTCTATTCAGTGTCTTTGCTTGTTCTTGTTGGTTTCAGTGTTTCCTTGCTGCTGTGCTCTTTCATTCCCTCGGTTGTCTGTCCGTGTATCCCTTTGTTTGCTGTGGCTGTGTGTTCCCTCCACAGCATTGCCCCCTGCTCTGTTTGTGGTTGCCTCCAGCTCCTGCTTCCCGTGGTTAGTGTGCACCTCCCTCCTTTCTCTTGTGCGTTCCCCTCTGCTGTTCCTGTTTATTTCTTGTCTCTGTAGGTACAGCTGGGGTTACCTGCTCCTTGTGCCACACATGTACCCTGCGTCTTCCCTCTAGTGCCTGTTTTCTGTATCTTGTATCCTGTATGCAACCCGTGTCTTGTTCCCTGTGCTGTGGTTCCTGAGTACCCGCTGGCACTGTGCCTGCACGGGTGTGTCAGAGAGCCACAACCTGGGAGCTGCCCCGCAGCTCAACCTCCACACCATCAGTGGCTCTGGGGAAGACCAGGTGGCTCCTTAGATCCTGCGACTCTGGCACACCTGCGTTTGTTGTGCGGTCACACTCTCCCTGCATCTTCAGAGACCCGTATTCCTGCCCATTCCTAATTCAGTCCCTATATACTGCTCCCCAAGACCCAGAGTTTACGATTCCTGGTGCTCTAGTGCCCTAATCGTGACAGTTCTATGTTATAGAAGATCCACTGAGGGGAAGAGGGTGGACTATTAATTCTGATTGGAATACCTAACTTCTGGACTACACGGCCAAGACTCGGATTTAACTCACCAACAAATGCAAAGCTTTACGTGGAGCTCGCCTCTTAAACTTGTGTGAAGTTGAAAATTATTTCTTACCTGAATCCAATCTTTCTTTTCTTCCTCGGTTCTACAAATAAAACAAGAGATCTGGTCAGATATTTGTCTGTGAATATTGCTAAAGAAAAGCAGGGGAGAGGGACAGGTCTGTAGTCTTTAAGGATGGAACGTCTGAATTTTGAATACATTCTTAAGAAAGGCTTAAAGCCGAACTCTTGGCTATTTTTTTCAAAAAATGTTCCCCAGCCAGTTTTAAAAGAAAAAGAAATTGCAGTTTTAATCTAGAGTTGTCCCTCGCAGTACCTCTTCCCCACCATAAGATGTCCTCATTTGGAAGAATTAAGACATACTGTGAGGACAAGGCATCATGGGCCTGTCGCACTACTGGGGGCACCACATCTTGTCTTCACTGTGTAATGGCGCAGAGAGTGCAGTTTGTGTCATCATGCCAGCTCTACACTCTGCATAATTAAAGGGGGACTATGAGGTGAGTGATTTTCACTCAACCCCATAGTTCTAGCCGACCTGTGACAATGAAACTGTCACAGGTCAGCTCAATAGATCAGGAAGTGAGCGAACACATACCGTCGCTCGCTCACTTCTCAATCATCTCCCTGCAGAAAGCGGTGACTGTCAGTAGCTGTCACTCATGCAGCTGAGTGGATCTCGACAGTAATGTCGGGATCCGTTCCTGCTGCGGCGGTCTCCGTATACCGCGATCTGTAGCTTGCGATATACTGAGGTTTGAGTCACGGCAGGACGCTAGTATATGTCCTCCCGTGACCCTTAGGAGAACTATGGGGAAAAACACTTACCCCACAGTTCTCCTTTAAGGACCGCTAAACCCAAAGAAGAGGCAAAGAGGAACTTGCAGCATGACATGACCATACGAGAACGGGAGTGGATCACCAGCCTGGGGGCCAGTGTGGGCTGCTGTGCTGTGATGGAGCTCCATCCATATGTGCATTGCTTGTACAGCTCCTTTGTGTGCCATGTAGAGGTGCCGGGAGTCAGAATGTGATGTCACTCCAGTCCAGGCACCTCTACAGGACACACGAGGAAGCTGTACATATGGATGGAGCTCCCTCGCTGCCATAGCCACGGCCCACTCCGCCTCAAGCTCACACTCGGTGCCTGGCATATTTTGGCGTGGGAACGGACAGTGCTGCAAAGGTGGCTGAGGAGCGTCTCACCTAGAAATGTGGACCCACTGAACATGGGTAGATGAAAGTAGTCACTCGCACTCCATGATATTAAAGTCAATGCTGTTTATTGACTGAGATAACACACATCTCCTTAGCGACGTTTCGAGACCATGCGGTCCCGTCCTCAGGCAAACAGAGCTGTTTGCCTGAGGACGGGACCGCATGGTCTCGAAACAATAAACAGCATTGACTTTAATATCATGGAGTGCGAGTGACTACTTTCATCTATCTACATTTCACGGAGGCATCCGTTGTCACCACCGCACCCACCCAGTTGGATTTGGGTTTTTGTCCGGTCAGGAGTGCGATGGGACAGGAGGATTAAGTTCCACTGAACATGGGGTTCGCGACCCACTTTTGGGTTACGACCCACCAGTTGAGAACCAAGGCTCTAGATAAGATTAGCTCAAGACATCCTTATGGAGAATCCCACAGAAAGAAGATTACACAGCATGTATGTGCTGTTACCTCCCTCCTGGGAATGCTGTATATGGCGTGTTCAATGAATAATAAGCTGTCAAATCAAGCTTGTCTAGACAACGCTTGGCCAAAAGAAGGGGTAGATCTCACTGGTGGGTCCCAGAAAACACCAAAGGATCAATACCTTGCCTTATTAAAGCAGACCTTTCAGGAACTTTACATTTGTTTTCTTTGCATGAACAAATCCCAGACATGTCCCAATATACATCAACCATATATTTTTGTAAGACAATCTCTACCATTTATGATTAAAAAGTAACTTCAAATAGGCAGAGATGATGTCATCAGTCTGCGGTAGGAAGACAGAATAATTTCCTCAATCTCCCCTACCCCAGTGTTGACTCACAGCCACGAGCTGCTCAAGCAACAGAATTTAAATGACTGTGTCAGCTCTGAGCTGGCATAATAGTCCAGTAAGTGGATGCTGGCTCTGGATGATGCACTTACACTTGAACATTACTGCATAGCATGCATGTACCTAACATGAGCAATATTTCTGATGCTAGGACCAATTGAAGGGGTACATTTATAAAAACTTATGCCCAGCCATACACTGGACAAATGCCGTTTGAGCGCGATTCCCGCCACTAGGTGGAGCCAAGGAGCATACAGTGCTCCTCAGCTCCACCTAGTGGCGAGAATGGTACTCGCCAAATGTATGGCTGCGTGGAAGTTTTATAAATCACCCCAAAAAGGTGTGAAAACTCAGCTGTCTATGATGTTAAAAGTAAAGAATACCTTGCTTGGAGCTCCAGGGATCGCTGTTTTCCCGACACTAGAAAGGTTCTGGTCAGGTTGGGGCTGCTGCTGTGTTTCAGCTGTGGTGGGAGGAAAGAAAACCCATAAAATTCTTTGTCACTTACAATCTAACTTTTTTATTTGTTCCATAAGTTTGTCTTAAACAGAATATGTGCTACTTGCCACTCACCTCCATCCCATCCATGTCAATCCTGGATCGCACGCTGTACTTCTGACCAATCAGACGCAGTTTAGGGACACAGTAGAGCAGACGGTCATTGAACTGTGATAGAAGGAAATACATTATATAGTGTGACCATGTACAATGCTTCTGTCTAGGGTTTAATAGATGTTTTAAAAAACAACTCCAGTTTTTTGTGTGCAAATTAACCATTGCAGGGGGCTAATAGTATAAAGAGGGGGACATCTGATGAAAAAGGGGGGCTCCTGATGTGAAAAAGGAGGATGATTGTAAAGTGGGCTCCTGATGTGAAGGGGGGCTTCTGATTTGAATAGGGGCGTGGCTTCTGATGTGTGTTTTTGCATAAGGTCCCCCCCTAAAATCCATACCAGACCCCTTGTTAGAATACACATTATTGTATCTATTGCAATAACTCCTGCAGTATTCAATCCTGGTCCCTAGATGGCAGTGTGTTTATAAGTTCTATTATATCTATGGTAGATTCTCTGTTGTATTGAATAAGGTAGAACAGCGGTCGCCAACCTTTCGGACCTCATGGACCACTAAATTCATAAATTTTAAATCCCGCGGACCACTAATATGGATTTTTTTAAAATATAGATATATTCTCAGATTTTTTGTTTCCTCATACTGTATATAAATATATCCTCATATGTGTGTGTGTGTGTGTGTGTGTGTGTGTATGTATGTGTGTGTGTATATATATATTAGGGCTGCGGAAATTAACGATTAATCCCTCGATTAATCGTTAATTTTTTTGATCAATCAAAATTATTTTGATCGATAACTAATAAAATGAACTAGGATCCCACCAATTCAGCACGTTATTATTCTGAGTTGCCGCACTCAAGCGGCGGCCATATTGAGTGGGGCACGTGAGATTAATAACGTGCTGGATTAGTGTGATCCTAGTTCATTTTATTACTTTATTGCTGTGCTGTATGTGTATAGGCAAGCAGAGACCGCACTGTACTGAGAGCCGCGCATTCCTTGTGACAGCCGCTGCTTGAGTCAGTGAAAGGCAGCCTCCGTGCCGCTTCAATGACGGCCCAGCCTGCACGGCATCAGAGGGGCCCACCAACATTTTCTTGCGGACCACCGGTATGGCGACCGCTGAGGTAGAGGATAAAGCTGTGGCTTCCTTCCTGTTTTCAAGCCATGAGCAGCATTCATATCAGACTGTGTGCTTGTGTTTCTCTGTGAGGCTGTGCAAGAAGTTCCAACACCCCCATCTTGGATAAATGTCTGGTACGGATTTTGGAGGGGCTACACGTCTTTTTTTGCATTTACGTTTTTGTGACTGGGGTTCCTTGAGATTTTGCATTCATTTAAAAGTATGCCATGACTGAAAACATGTTGAGGAGCGTTGGTATCAGCAAATCCACCTCTTCAAAAAATAAATTATATTCCAAAAATAAGCTGCCGAAACTCACCAGAATGAGGTATCTGTCCTGGGTGGTCCCGTTCTTTGCAGAGAGTTTCAGGATGTGTCCCTCCTTGATGAGCTCATTAGTGGGGCTGACAATATCCTCTTCACCGCCTAACAGCTCATAGACTTTAAGGAGTTTATGCATCCTCTCCTGCAGGAATAAAATCACATGAACCCAATCACCCGAAATAACATTTCCCATTATAAAGGTAACAAATGAATGTCTGGCAAAGAATGATGCATCCGTCATTACCATTTTCCTGATTGCTGCGTTGGAGTGTTCAGCTGCTGTTGCTATCAGGTCCAAAGACTCTGAAAAATCAAACAGTACATTGTTAAAAGTATATTGTTATAGTAGCATAAGAGACCCTTTCATATTATAGTCTTGTATATTATAGGAATTTATGTTGTTATACTGTACTGTTTTGTATAATACGAATAGCCTCATGCTATATGCAGGGCTGTCATCCCCCCAAAGGCTGTAGGTGCACAAGCTTTCTATTACTGGAACCTGTAGACACACAGATTGCCCATCTTTGAAACCTGTAGGCACACAGATTTTCTATCACTGAAACTTGTAGGCACACAGACTGTCCATCACTGGAACCTGTAGGCACACAGTTTGTTCATTACTGAAACCTGTAGGTGCACAGACTGTCCATCACTGAAAGCTGTAGGCACACAGATTGCCCATCACTGAAACCTGTAGGCACACAGACTTTCCATCACTGGAACCTGTAGGCACACAGATTGCCCATCTTTGAAACCTGTAAAACACAAAGGCTTTCCATCACTGGAACCTCTAGTCACACAGACTGTCCATCACTGGAAACCGTAAGCACACAGTCTGTTCATTATTACTGAAACCTGTAAGCACACAGACTGCCCTTCCTAAAAGTTTGTAGCCCCACAGACTGTCCATCATTGAAACCTGTAGGCCCACAGACTGTCCATCACTGGAACCTGTAGGCGTACAGACTGTTCATCACTGGAACCTGTAGGCGTACAGACTGTCCATCACTGGAACCTGTAGGCACACAGACTGTCCATCACTGGAACCTGTAGGCACACAGACTGTCCATCACTGGAACCTGTAGGCACACAGACTGTCCATCACTGGAACCTGTAGGCACACGGACTGTCCATCACTGGAACCTGTAGGCACACAGTTTGTTCATAATCATTACTGAAACCTGTAGGTGCACAGACTGTCCATCCCTGAAACCTGTAGTCACACAGGCTTTCTGTCACTGGCATTTGTAGGCACACAGACTGTTTATCACTGGAACCCCTAGGCACACAGACTTTCCATCACTGAAACCTTCCTTTACTTTGGAGTGACGGCACTGGTTGCCAGGAGCTGAGCAAGACGCTGCCCCGATCGCCCAAGGGTGCTAAGAAATGGGTGCCACCAGCACACCTCACCTCCACCACCCTAGGTGGCGAAAAGGCTAGGGACACCTCTGAGTAAACAGGGTTGTTTCCTAATAATCCCTATGTAAGTCACAATGACAAGGGTTTAACCATTCCCTATAGAGGTGCACCAAAATTTCAAAACCGAAACGAAACCGAAAATGTTTTTTATTTAAATTTTTTCACATTTTTAAAATATTTTTTTTATAAACTTTTTAATTTTTTATATTTATTTATTCATTTTTTATTAAATATTTTTATCTTTTACTCTACTTTTAGGGGCTTCGGGGAAATATTAGGGGTCTAAACAGACCCCTGATATTTCCCTTTTAAAATAGAGAAAGAGATTGAGGACAAAAAGTCCTCTCTCTCTTCTTCTGTATCCCCTGTTATCCTCTACGAGTGTTCCTGTCCATTCATAACATGAGAACATTGTGTGTTTAATATATCCACAATCATGAATGAGCAGGAGGGGTTGTAGATCACTCCCATTCATAATTGAGCATATAGTAACCATGCTATGTCCTCAATTATGTACAAACACTCAGCGATCACTGATCACTGACTGCTTGTATCTCACTCTCCTTCCTGACACACTGTCACAGGAGGCTGAGCGGGGGAGTGCAGGGAGGAGAGCTCAGCCTCCTGTGACAGTACACAGCACCGCTCTACCGGACTGTGACAGGAGGCTGAGCGATGTGGGAGGAGAGAAGCCGCTCACAGCGCTCTCTTCCCACAGTGCTCGGCCAGCTGTCACAGTTTCTCTCCACCCCGCTGGGACACAGAGCAGCGCCATGCGGGGAGGAAAGAATTCAGGGATGCGCCGATGTATCAGCAGAAAAATTGCACTTTTGGCATTATACCACAAGTGCCATTTTCGGACGATATGTTTCGGCGGCCGATATATCGGTGCATACCTAATTCCCTATTCTATTTAAAATAATAAAACGTTTCGGCTTTGCATATACATTATCAAGCAGGTATACCTAATAAACAGGGAAGGATTAACATAGGGGCCACTGGAGTGCCAGCTCCAGGCCCACCACTGACCACAGATCACCTTGGTATGCCCGATGACAATCCAAGCTGGCCGGGCTGAACGCATTCAGGCAGAGGCACCAGCAGCTCTCTTATTAGGCAGATTAGGATGGCTCCGGCACCTCGCGAGACCCAAGCGAGGAGCCGAGTGGCTGCCTAATTAAAGAGCCGCCTCTGCTGCTTCCTGTCCTACCGACCGACAGCACCAGGCCCACCACTGACCACAGATCACCTTGGTATGCCCATTGGTAATGTAAGCTGGCCGGGCTGAACGCATTCAGGCAGAGGCACCAGCAGCTATCTAATTAGGCAGATTAGGCAGCCGCGGCACCTCGCAAGACCCCAGCGAGGAGCCGAGTGGCTGCCTAATTAGAGAGCCGCCTCTGCAGCTTCCTGTCCTACCAACTGACAGCACCAGGCCCTTGATGCTATTAATCCAGCCATGCTAATAGAGAAGCTGCTGAGTGCATGTTACAGATAGATAATATGGGGGTAAGGTGACCTTTATGTGGACGGCGAGATAATATTAAAATCTTTTGGTTGGCTGGTCATGTGTAAGAGATTTGTAGTGCAGTAACTGAGAACAATACATTCTCCCCGCAGCCTCTTCTCCCTGGATGAGCATCACCTACTTTCTGCATCTCTGCGGTCTCTGGAATCCTCCGGCAGTTTCTGGAGATAGTCCTTGAGAAGCAGCTCATACCGCGGGATCCGCTGGACAGGCTCCAGCATGTGGTGCTGTAATGTCAGATTACCGCAGGCCTCCTCCTTCTGCAACACAATGGAAAAAATATGCTGAGGAAGGAATGCCTGAGCACCTGGACTATAAACATTGTGTACACCGACGTCTATCATTACGTGTCCTGCCAGACTGCTCCATAGTAAATCACTAAGCCAAGGGGGGCCGGTGATATTTTCACATACCAGGAGGGGCCCCAGTGTAAAGTTTTTGGATTGGTGCCCCACATTTCTTTCAGTTGATAAGATCACTAAATAACTTTATATGATATTAAAGGCAAAAGGTTTTTAAGCCATTTCAAATGCTGATAAAATTACAATAGAGGCTGCTCCTAAATCTTTAAAAGTTTTACTTTCCTGCAGAATCAGATGGTCCCTTGCAGGCCTCCATGAAGCCACCCTTGTGTGCAGGTTTATACAGCACGCCGCGTTTGGCAGCTGGTGGTGCTTGCCATTGCAGTCAATGGGACCACACTGCAACTGAATCCCTGTTTTTCTTTTTGATCCCAAGGGAGATTTTTGCATTGCAATGCCGTGCCGCAACCGTGCGCCAAGCGCTTGGCATGCAGATGTGGCACAGAATGACAATGCAAGGTCCCCCTTGGGATCAAAATTTTATACAGCACTCCACGTTTGGCAGCAAGTGGTGCTTGCCATTGCAGTCAATGGGACCACGCTGTAACCGAATGCCTGTATTTCTTTTTGATCCCAAGGGAGATGCTGTGCCGCAACCATGTGCCAAGCGCTTGGCATGCAGATGTGGCTCAGAATGACAATGCAAGGTCCCCCTTGGGATCCAAAAAAAACAAAACACAGGCATTCAGGAGGTGGCAGGATCACTTCCTGAATACCTGCAAACCACTGCTCTGAATAACGGACCGCTGAGGATCACTTTTCAGAGGGCAGTAAAAGTCCATGTGCGGACATGTGAATGAGGCCTACAGACTTATTTTATTCATTCAAATGTGACTTGCCTGCTCTATAGCCAGCAGAGTTGAGAACTTTCATATGAACTTTGAAAGAGGAAACATCATCGCACCTTTAGAGACATTTTATCTTTCTAAGATCCAGAACCGTGAACGTGTCGCGTTCGGTTCTTCTGGAATTCAGCCCCACCTATCTCTGTGTCAGAAACCAGCTTGCACAGTTCTCGCCCTCTAATTAAGCTCCACGCAGGTAATGTTTAATTGATCAGCATGTAAAATGTCTGGAGACAGTTGCACAGTATGAAGCTGACTGATTACTGGTCTGCTAAGAAAATCTGTCCTCGGGCGAGTCAGTTATATGGGTTAAGAGGAAGTTCAGAAACTCAGTTCCTTTACTGCGGAGCCAGAAATTCCTTTTCCATCTCCAATCTCAGCATCTGGTAATTATTGGTCATAAAAATAAATAGGGAAAAAAAAAAAACTACCTAGAGTCTTAACCCTGTGTAGGCCAAGCTGATAGCTGGAATTAAAGGGATATTCCACTTTACTTAAAAACATTATCTTAAAAGATGTGATTAATTGCTACACAAGACATTTTGTACTTTATTGTTATTATAGATTCCCTCTCAATGCAAAACTAGTGGCAGCTACAGTTTGCTGAAAGTGCCAACAGTCCAAACATTGCTTTCTTCAAACACGGAAACACTAGGGGGTGTTCTATAGACTGATGTACAAAGTGGCCCCAGCAATCACACTTCCTGTCCAGGTAACGGCTTTGCTGCTACTCCCAGCAGTTTTCTCCTACTACAGCACTGTGATTGTAGCAGGCACACCGTCACACATTTAGTGATGTGCAGGGGCTTGGTGCAAACCCACAAAACTGTCCATGACTAGGGCTGCAACAACTAATCGACTAAATCGATTATAATTGATTATTGAAAAAGTTGACAATGTG